ACGGAAGTACACGGCTTGCTTGCGATTGTTCACTCATGGAATGAAATCGCTGAAATCACGTTGTAGACTGGCGTTGTCGCGACAAATCACGCCAATTTCAATTTCGCCAGTGATCGTCACGAATCCGCTCTTCTCGTTCGTATTTCAATCGCGCAGATTAATCTTTATTTTAATAGATTTCCAGCCAGCACGAACTGCGAACACATTTCTTATCTTCACGTTTGTCCGACTCGTACGTGCATTGATTGATGTCACGAGCTCGATGCCGGAACTACGCGCAATTAATGACGTGTCACGATAGCCAGCGGTGATTGTTCATCACTCTTGCAGCGGTGTAAACGTTCACAGCTTCATCGACAGTTATCAATTCTTGAAAACAGTATCTAAATTAATAATTTCTTGTACGACAGAAACTGAATATTTGTATTGCATGGCGTGCATTTTTTTCAAAAAATAATAATGTACGAATATAAATAAGTCGGAGAAAATATAATTAAAAAAAGATGATATCTCGTGTAAAAATAAATTAAAAACATATAAAAAAATTTAAATGTAGAAGAAAAAATTAAAATGCAATTAAAATACAGAATAAAATTTTAGTACGAAGTTTTTCACTTTTGAGAAAATTAATCTTAAAAATTAAAAAATTAATAACTTAATTAATAAATTTGATAAATTTAAGCTTTTTAAATTTAAATAATTTTCTTTTGCCTATATTCTCTTCCCATAATAAATTATATATTATAAATAAGATATTAGAAAATATTGAGTTGAACGGAAAGTTCGTTCCGTTTTTTACTAAGAGATGAAGACCGAAAAGACGGCACGAACTTTCCGTTCAACCAATACAATAACTTTGATCTCATTTGAAAGATAATTTAATTCTCTACAACTTTTGTTTCGGTACTTTTTGTTAAAAAACGCATACTTTCTCTGATATGTGTAAAAATGTAAAAAATAACCGTGATTCCACAGGTTTTTGGGCGCTAACTTTTTAAGGAAGCATTTTTCGACGCATGTATATAGGAAACTTTTTATTCGGAATTAAATTATCTTTCAAATGAGATCAAAATGATTGTAGTTCGCTCCATAGGTTTTGAAATAAATCAGTTAATAGCCAATTTCAAATGTACCGAAAAGTGTTTTTTCGACTATTGACGGTTATTCGAAAA